CCCTGCCCGCCCTGCTCCTCCCGGCTCCCTGTTCGGCCCGCAGCCTGCTGCCCCGGACGGCCCCGCTCTCCCCATCCCTCGCTGAACCCCTTAGCTCCCCGGCCCGCTCCGAGCCGTGCCCTGCCCTTGACAGATGTTTGCTCTCCTCTCCTCCACCAGCTCGAGGCACTGGAAGCCGTTTTCGCTCAAACTCACTACCCCGATGTGTTCACTCGGGAAGAGCTGGCTATGAAAATCAACCTCACGGAAGCCAGGGTGCAGGTAAACATTCTGGGGAATTATTTAACTCTCGGGCATTCAAACTGGCAAACTTTTCTTTTTTCTTTTTTTTTTTTTGTTTGACATCATGACTGCAGAGTGCACATTTGGCCAAAGAACGCAAATGAAGACGATCTGTCATTTTCATGATGCACTTTAATAACATCAACATAATGTGGAATATTAGATTAGGTTGATTAATCGGTCATTCATAATTAACTAGTGATAATGTTCTACACTAATTTGTCCGCGTCTCCAAGGTACTAAATTACATCAATGCACATCCATTTCCTTGCTTTTGGAGGGGGTGTGTGTGGAGAAAAGAGCTGAGACGTGATTCTCCAGAGCAGCTATGACCACTGTCGAGCAGTGGGGTTAGTCAACTGCAGGGAGCTCAGCTGCCAGGAAGATATCTTCTGCACCTCTTCAACTTCTTTCACTTTCGCCTTCATTCTAAACACTTAATTTAGACAGGTAAAGAGCCTGCAGAGCAATTCCCGCACCTTTAATATGATCCAATAAATACCATTGGCCAGGATTGCTCTCTTTCCACTCCTGTTCTTTTCCACCCCTTTTCTGCCTTCGTTCCTTCTTCTCACCTTTTTTTTTCTTTTTCTTTCTTTCTTTCTTTCTTTCTTTCTTTCTTTCTTTCTTTCTTTCTTTCTTTCTTTTCTTTCTTTCTTTACCCCCCCCCTCCGATCCAGGTGTTTGTTTTTCCATATCCAGAGATTAACTTGGTGTGTGTACAAGCCCTGCTAAGAACAGCAGTCCTGCAGTTGTCACAGATGGATCCCTGTAACTCTGCAGGCATCTACCACAGAGTTACAAGCCATTTTTTGAACATGATTATGGATCCATTTTATTTATGGGGCTTTTCTGCATGGTTTTTGTATTTTTTTTGTATTTAGATGCTCGGGGTTAAGACTATGCAAAGATCTAATTGTAGGAAATATAATAGCTTGCCTTTTGTTCCCTAGGGTCATGTTAGTATCTCTTAAAACCCAATGGCTGAAGAAAGATAATGGAATTCACCGCAGTAAATTGGGGATTGTAAACAAATTATTTCTCCTATAATCAGATTATGGGATCCTGATTATTAAATCTGAACATGAATCATTGGTCATATGCGGGCAAATTAAACTGATTATTATTTGGAAATGAAAATCTCCTTTTGCCACCGCATTGTAGGTACTGGCTTAAAAAAATAATAAAAAATGCCATTTTGGCTATTGGTGCCTAAAGACTGAACTGCAAATTGAGATAAATGGGACAATTATTGAGCATTCAGAAGTGGAAGATCATAACTTCTTCCTGAAAGGTGCAAGGGTGAGATAGGGGTGCTGACAATTAGATTGCTGAGGACTGGTGTTTTGCCTTGTTGTTGGCTATTATGCAAACAGACAATAGATGCAAGCATTTGTTTAGCCTGCTTTCATGCAGGGACATGGGGAAACACAGAGGATGGGAGATATGTTTACATTTATACCCCTTGCTCATTCAAATATGATTAATGTGCTATAAAGCAGAGTCTTAATCGAAGATGATGTTGTCAAACAATAACTAAATAGGGAAATAAACGACTTCATCATGCTCTTTCCTCAGAAGCAGGCGAACTGTCAGTGCAAAGTCATTAAAATATGATAATGAAAAATAGCTCAATTAAATGTTGTTATAGCTGTGACCTTCATTCAATTAAGACGCAAGAAAGTGTCTGCATTTTGCTTTGCATTTAACTGCTCTAAATTTAGAATATAGATAAAATCATTATTCAACGTTTGCTGATACATGCAATTAAAAGGCAGCTAACTAAAATGGAGTTGCAGGAGGAGAATAATAATAATAACAGTCATGCCTGTATTTGAAGCCATGTACTAAAATGTGAATTTCCTGACCTCCAGGGAGGCTTGGCATTTTCCACCTTAAATAAGGTGCTTTCAGAGCATCAGCCCCAAGGTAAAAGAAAACAAAAAAAGTGTTTTTAAACAATTTAACAGTGTTTTTAATTTATTAAAATTAACTCTTAATAAAAGTTGGGGGATAAAATCAATAACATGAATATCTGGGTTGTGTAAAAGGGGAAATAAGATTTGTAAACTGGTCTGTATTAAACTGCAGAACGGTCTTAAAAAAATCAGTATTTACTGCCTTTGGAGTCATCTACATGCAGACTGGACAAATATGTCAGAGGATTAACAGCAAGTCTCAGTCCTCTCCAGGACATGGGCTGGGTGAGGTGGCCTAATACATGTCTTTTCATTTCTGACCTCTCTGATTCTAATAGCAGCTCGCTTAAAGACTTGAACATGTGCATAAATGCAAGCACACATTTAAATCTTTTGCTAATTGGAACAGTAACAACAAAATTCTTTTTATTTTTCTTTTCTTTTTTGACATGCCTTTTAAATGTCTTTAAAGACTCCTGGCTTGTTTTTCAGACACAGAAATATTCCAGATACAAATATAAACCTAAAGCTCAACTACAATTATGGTGGGGACACAGAATAAAAGGAAGTTTTAGCTAAGCTTCTAAATGACTGATTTCATCTGAAGAACAATTTACAGTTTACTTGCTTTGTGTGTGGCTAAAGATGATATTCAACTTGGGTTGCTCTCCTGTTCCAGGTATGGTTCCAAAACCGAAGAGCTAAATGGAGGAAAACAGAAAGGGGTGCTTCTGACCAGGAGGGCTCTAAGGAAACAATGGCTGAGGTGGCACCTCCTGCAAGGAATTTAAATTCCCCTTCTCCAGCAGATCAATCCAGGAATAAAAAAGAGAGTCTGGAGATCCAGCAGAGGTAAGAGTAATACATGTTAGCAGTTATTAGCTGCCTCTCTTTGTACCAAGTGTGCATCACACATACGTACATACAAATGGGCTTGCCCGCTGCTAGGCCTTGACCTATGCGGTATCATCTTCAGGTACAGCCCAAACCGTTAGAAGGTGAGCTGTCTGTCACAACTCACCGCTCTCTGTGGAGATGCTGAGAAGCTGTTGGCTGTTATCCAGGCTTTGTCCCATCTAATTGGACACTGAGACACCAACATGTTTGTGTGCATGTGTGTATGCTGTCTTTGGAATCAGTTCTGATTTTGTAAGAAAGTTCTTTTCTTTTCTCCATCAGCCTGAGTCGAGCTGTGGGTCCTACAGGATCATTCTTCCCTTCCTGCCTGCCAGGGACTCTTCTCAACACAGCCACCTATGCACAAGCTTTATCCCATGTCGCCTCTCTAAAAGGTAAGTGACTTTGTGTAACTTCAGAGATAAACTCAAAGGGTAGTGCTTTCAAACTAAGTGTTGTGGTCTCCTTCTCCCAGTGGAGAAGCCTTTGGGAAATGATGGGTCCTTATTCTTGTTATGATGGGCAGCAATTGCACCTACCAACGCTGTAGGTACAGGAGTGACTCTTCTGTTGCAAATTTTACCATGGTTTGAGGCAAAGCTCCTTCATTTTACTCAGTTACATTTAGTGAGGTCAGGGTTTGTCTCAAGGAACAAGGCAGGTAGGGTTTGCTCCTTTAGAGTTCTTTTGCATGTACTTTTTTTAAGAGTCAAATTTATACTTATAAATTAGTTATATGCATCCTTTTGCATTATATATTACCTGGCACCATTACTGATGCCTCATCCGCTCTTTGCAAGTGGTTTCCTTTGCAGTACATCTGTGCACAATGCCAGATCTTTCTCTTCTTGAACAGGAGGGCTCCTTTGAGAACTTGAATAAAGCCTGTGCATGAGGATGGGGGAGGATACAAAGTAATTTCTCATTACTCGGAACCCAAAATTCACGGATGGTACATTCAGTGTCCATATACTTTTCAGTTCCCAAAAAGCAGCAGTATGCTCCTTTTAAAAATAAATCAGCAGCTGATCCATTAGCTGTTCCTAGTCTAACAATTTACAAGACTAAGGGTGTAAGCAGGATGAATTCAGTTTATAGATTTATAGGATGTAAAGCCTCGTAGTACTGCCAAGCATAAAGTGGCACATACATTTACTCTATGCTCCAGTGTGGTACAATAATTTGTGAGGAAAGTTTCCCGGTTTAAAACCCTCTACTACAAACACAAATGTCCGCTAATACCTCTCGCTCTGTTCTCTGGCATATCTCACACTCTTTATGAGTAGTTCTAGTTAAATCAGCATTGCCAAGCTATAGTCCTGAAGCAAATGCTTGGAACTGCCGAGTTTTGCATTAAGTCCAGTGTTCTGCCCCCTGTTACCCTTTCCCTCCTGTCTTTCCAAAATAGCTGAAGCCAGACACACCATACAGCTACTGCTATTTCTGCCCGTGATTTTGAATCAATCAAAGCCACACAGGTGTGTCCTGAACCCTACAACTTAAAGGATGACCGTCGGCCTAAGCCCTGTAAGTAAGCAGCAGCTGTTGGACTGCACGAGTGCTCTCGATCTCTGCTTTATGGCTGCGAGGTCTTGAGGCAGAGACTTTTGGCTTTTTCCACTTGGGCAGGAACAGCCTCTCTGCCATAGATTCAGGTGAAACTCTTCGGGAAAAAAATATTCTTCTTCCCACTTGTTTCATGCTTAAATATAGCTATTTTTAAAAGAAAAATAACCCCAATAAACAAAAGCGAAGCACAATGAAGTAAAAATTAATAAAAAAATTATAATTAGAGTTTTTAAAGTTTTATTTATTTGGAAGACTTCTGGATATTCTTTTCTGTGATTTTACAGCTCAGCCACTAAATTGAGAAATTAATAACTTGCTTCTTTTTGCTCGATAGCAGTTTTACAACCTAGGGGCAGGAAAAATCCTATTCCTGAATCTCTTGTAGTGATACTTATTAGATAGTAAGTTGCTCAGGCTAAAAGGCAGTGTAACTGAAAAACTGGTCCCAAATGCAAGTATAGATTTTTGTGGTAATTTGTATGGGGATGGTCAGTTATAAGATATACACATAATCTCTTGATGAACGCCGTCAAGCTACACCTGCAATTCATTTCTGAGATGCCCTGTTTACGTTTTCTGCCTGACACTAGAAATCTCCAGATACATGCAAGGGATGATGTAGTATATTTGGATTTTAAGAAATCCAGTCACAGATTTGCATATCTGCACATCCACATACCAGGAGCTTTGTGGAGCTGCCTATGCCTGTCTGCATATCGTTATACTTGCAGGGAACTGATAGACTGAGCTGCTGCTTGATGAGATCTTCTTGTTCTGCAGCCAGGTCTCAGTAATGTCAAATTTTGGCTTGGAGGTTAAGGTTTGAATTTGTTGTTCTGTAAGGTGTCAAATTTTATATAGATTAACAGAGAATAATTGTAGCATCTTTCTTGTGACATTTACATATGGAATATTGTCCCTTCTTTTCTTGGCTCATCTCTGCAAGTTCTTCTTTCCCTGTTTCTCCAAGAGCAATTCACCTGGGCTGGGGTAGGGGCTGCGCACAGCAGACCTTGAGCTTCAATCTCGTTAACTGGCAGTGATGAACAGGATGATGTCTAGAGGTTGAGTGGACCGATTCACATTCTATTTTTCTCTGATATGGAAACATCAGCTGAATGGTGGTTCATCTAAACCAGTGTATTTGAGAGCAAAACCAGGCTCATGTGTCAGTCTGGAGGAAGAGGTAATGGTTGTGGAAAGGAAGGAAAGGACAGGGAGAGACACAGTGTTCACAAAACCTTTATATGACCTTCTTTGTCTTGCTCAGTTCAGTTTGTTCTGCTCTCCCTTCTTGTTTCCCCCTTTGAGCCAGGAGCTGATTCGTACAATTCAGGCCTGTCAAAGGAGATCTAACCCTAGATTTAGGTGGGCATTAATGTATGTCATTATGTGTCTTAATGAAGTGACTAAAGCGTCTCCCTTGAGAATCTGGTCACATTTTGCAGCAGAAATGCTGACAGAACTCTGCCACAGTGATTCTAAGCAGACAGGACTTATGCTACAAAATATCCCATCAAACACAGCACAGGGCATAAAATTCTGAATTGTTTGGTTTTTGAATTGCTTGGGTAAGGAGAAATTCAGCAAGTAGTAAGGTTTTCCAAAACTTTGCATGTTTTATTGAAGAATGAAGTGATCAACAGCCCTTCCTGGTATCTCTCTTGTGCTGACCATGCTTTGAAACTACCAGGGATTCTTTGTGCTTTTGAAAGCTAAAGAGTTGCTCCACAACCAAAGCACCATTTCACTACCAATGGATGCATGACCCTGCTTTCTTCTATGCAAATGTCAAATTAAATGCAGATCCTCTATGAGGATCTCATAAATAGATACTTATTCCCACCATTGGAAGAACAATCCTGGCCAGTACAGGGAATCATATTCTTCAGTAAGACTGTAAAAGCTGCCTGCAGACAAATGGGCACTCTCAGCACATCAAATACTACTGGGAAGTCTAGATTGTTTTCATTCTTTTGAGGAGACAAGATGTGCTTTGTTGGGCTTGTGAGCCAACACTTCACTGGTGTCAGGGAGTAATATTTGACTGATGCTTTAGAAGGAGACAATTAAAATCAATACAGTGAATAATAAGTGATGATGGTGATATAACTAATTAATAATTATTTTATGCTCTCAGGGAGCATTTTCATTCTGCCACCTGAGAGTTCTCCGTCTTCTATAAAGAAATGAATACCTCTCTTTCTTCTTCTCTGACTTTGATTACTTGGCTCTACACCCAGATTTCCAAGGCTGTGTAAAGTGTGTAGGACACATGGTTCCTCGATCTAGTTTGTGGTATAACCATATAACAGTTGATAATGAAGTTGGTCTAGTAGAGATGAGAAATCTCAGGACAGGCTAGCATTGGGCTACCATGTCTGAACCGAGCCTGCAACTCTGCTTTTGCACTGTAGGCTTCAACAGGCAGCACTCATCTGAACCCCCCCATATCTGTGCCATTTCTAGGTACGGATATTGGTGGAGCACGAGACTAGGTCTGCTCTGGTGAATGAGAAAAAAGCTATTTCCCCTAAGCACCTTGCTGTCTCTGAAATAGAGGTTAGGGTTTTGTTTTTCCTCAATGCTATCAGTACTGCAGGATGTTCTGTGAAGAAAGCAGGCCAGCTGTACAATAGCAATCAGAATGGTATTTCAGAGCATAGACTGTTCCAGAGAAGAGTATATTACCACTGAACAGTTTTTCTCTGTTTCTATCAAATAGTCTCTATTCATTAATACAAGAGACCTTTTCTTTTCCTTAGGTGAGTTCTCTCCCTCTCTGAAGTTTAGCACATCAGAGACTGTACTTAGTAGCAAGCATCTGTGAACTACCATACGACCTCACTACATACTATTCTTTCAGGAAATGAAATTTCTCATTTAAAAAAAATAGCATAAAATCACAATTTATGTGGTACACAGGGTTTCCTACTTCAGGCTTGCATAGATGAAATTTCTGGTGTTCGTTACCCTCTGAAATTGTCCTAATTTGAGAACTGTGCTACTTCATTGTGGTAACTTCGACATTTCCATGATCTTCCAAGATGAATCACTTACTGTAAAATATGCATCTGCAGTCCATTTAGTAGATTTAATTGCAGACCTCAAATATGAAGGGAAAATACTTGTTTTATTTATGGGCTGTATAACAATAGAGTCATCAGAAGGAGCTAGTGTTCTGTGCAGAGAGAGACCTCAAAGTACCTTCTTAATGGATGACAGCATGAATGCAATTCATTACTGTAGAAGATGTTATTAATGGGTGTAAACAAGAATCTCCGGTTTTCAGCGGAAGCGTTCTACCATTCTGGTGGCTGAGGCCAAGAGCGTGTCTGCTTCATTCCACTGAAGTTTCCCCAGGCCCCATGATGAGTGCAGTGTATGACGAGAGAAATAATTACACTTGCCAGGGAATTACTTTCATAATTCACCCACAGCTCTGCTCTGTGCAAGTTATAGCTCAGTTAGTTTTCATGGCACCTCCACACCGCTGATAGAGAAGCAGGATTGCATTATGCACATCAAAGTGGATATTCCAAGGCACCATTGATTAGGCTCTTTTATGGTTTGTTGCTGCTGTGGTTGCTGTTGTTCATATCAGGGAGGCTTAATTGCAGTATTCAGGAAAAAAACACAAACGCGACTAGAACTGGCCGTCCATTACATTTCAATTTCTACTATGGAATGATGAAGAGAATTTGTCCAATTCCATTGGGCAGTTTCCGTTGCCAAGGCTGAGAAAGAAGTGTTCAAGGACCTAACTTACCCTTGAACTGGTGTCTGCTGAATTGAATCACCACTGCTTGCCATAAGACTGAGAAACGTGAATCAAAACTCTTGTGGTCCTTTATTTTCTCTGTTATTCCTGATTATGGACTCACTGACTTTTCTCATGCAATATAACAAACATATCTCGTAGGTTCTGTTTGGCATTTTCCCTAGTTTACCTGGCACACTGACTTTAGAGAATTCAAAGCATTTCTTTAGTTTTCTGCAGATGCACAGACTTTGAGCAAATTAGTTACCACAGGTCTCTAACTCCAGCACTGCTCTACCTTGCAGGTAGATTTTTTGGTCTTTATCACAATTATTAGGGAATATGCAGACACTAGGAGCCCTAAGAGCCATGAGAAGGAAATGGGTGCTTGTTTGTTCATCCAGGACAAATCTTGATTAGGTGAGTGGACCTTAGCAAGGCAAGGGTCCTATTGACATCTCTTGGAGTGACACATCGTCAGCTCTTTGTTGTTTGCATTGGACACATAGGATTTACAAGCCAAGGATATCAGAAATTATAACATTTGGACTCTGCTGTCAGCTCTGTTGTGTTCTTCCAGCCTCTGGGCAGCGCAGGGTGCCTTCCACACTTTACCAGTTCAGGCACTAGAAAGAGGAACCATCCAGCACCACTTTAGCAGTCTTGAGGATACCCTAAATTTCAGGCTTTAAGTTAATGCCTTCTTCTGAACCTCCTGATTCACAACTCAAGATGATTTGGATAAAACCACTTTTGTGTTTTTTCTGCTTGTGCCTCAGGCTTTAATAGACACAGTGTTGGTGTCAGGTATGAAAAGCAAGAGGGACCTCCCTTTGAATCAGCTCTTACTGGTAAACAACGCTGTGAATTCGAGGTTGTTGTTGACCTTCCAACCTTTGTGAAAGTGATTTCAGAGTTCATGAGGATTTAGAGCTCAAGAAAACCAAGCTTAAATCAAGCAAAATATTTTCTCTGGAAACTAGACAGCATGCATTCACAGCTGAGGATTTTTCAATTCCCTTCATGTCAGGTTGCTGCTCAGCTGTCCACATCAAATGCTGATATGCACTAATACCGAAAGAGGAAAGGGACTTTTGGAAAGGCTATCTATTAAATTCTTTAAACTGTTGAGTTGCAATGCAAAATATATGTTTTAAATACTTACGTATCGATGCAGACCCTGCTCCTACCCCACTATTCTCAGCTAAAACTGAACCTTGGAACTGCACAAAAGGGTCGGCAACCAAAATTGTAGATCAAATATTGTTACAATTGAAATGTGATGTTAGCAGAGACAAGACAGAACTAATTTAATTTTTCCTGTCAGTCTCTGTAGTAGATCAATTAAACTGCCAAGTGGATCAAATATTTCAGACTGTATTTATTACATTAAGTATTTATGTTCAGACTGAGCATTTAAAGTATGATCTCATATAGGAATGCAAGGAGGTTCAGATCAATTCAGCAGAATTTGCTGTAAGTTAATGGAAATCTAATTGTGTATTTTAATTTTGTGTACAGGAGGCAGTAAGTTCCTGAAAAAAGAAAAAGGTACCCTGTCCGTATTGTAGCAACCTGATTCAAATCCCATTAAAGTAATATCAGACTGTCAGACATGTTAGTGGAAGTTGGTTCAAGAATCTAAGGCTAATGGCTTAACCCTCACTGGTTTTAATGGGATCTAGGTGCCTAAACTCCTCTGAGGATCTGAAATAGGTAGGAACAATTCCTTACTTCCACACTGTGGTCTCAGGGTTACTGTGGTAAGATGTTAAAAAACATTGATGTCTGTTACATGTGGATGCCTCTTTCTTGGTGAAAGTCAGATTCCTGTCCACTGTGGGCTGACTGACGGGCAGGTGGGGACCTTGGGCTCCTGATTCTCCCATCACCCATCTCAGATTTTGTGCCAGCAAAGCCCAGTAGATTTCACTGGGCTTACTACCTGCAGGCACAGGCAATTGTAAAGCAGATTCAACCTAAAATCCTACTCTCCTGTATTCTAGCTGGACGCTCGAGCAAATGACACTTGTTACTTTACATTTTTTTCAGGTGTGAGCTGCTGTTTGCAAGTGTTTTAACCTCAGTGAAAATGAAACTAATGGGTTTTGGGCGAATTATTGCTAGAGATAACCTAGTTTCTACCACAAGTAACTCTACACCCTCAGGTTGCAGAGCCACTGGGTAATATCAGGTCTAATTATTAAGCAAAGAGCTTAGATTGATGCTGAAGACTGATAAATATTTTATCCCTCTCTAACAATGGAATGAAAATTATTCTTAGGGGATGGAGCTGATTCCTGCTCTTTTGAAAAAGGGAAAACTCTTTTCTACTTCTCCCCACCTTCTGCTAAGCAGACAGTGTCTGTGCTTGGTCCTGTGTTAGGTACCACAGATGGGTCAACCCTCCCTCAGCCTGGGAGATGAACAGCCACATTTGAAAGTCTCACTTGGTTTGTGTTAGAAAACAGCAGCACAAAGACCTCTGATGCCCCCCTCCACTTTAGAGCCAAACTAAGAGCCAAGATAGTGGGGCCTGGCAGTGGTGAGCAAATGGACTTATGTGTGGCTTCTGCAGCTGAAGACCTGCTGCAAACCGTAGTGACTCTGAAGTGCTGTTCTTCCTCTCCTGCCTCTTGTTAAAACAGTTCAACAGGGGAAAAAATGACTTTGGGAGCATGGTTGGTGGTGGCAAAAACCCTAAGTTGTGTTACTGAGTGGATTTAGTTATAAACCCTCCTTCTGACCTGCTCAAAGCAGCCACAGAATTCAAGATAGAGCCTCCTAGTGCAAAAAGCAAAAATTGGATTATTTTAGTCAAATTGTTTGCTTGTTTGATTAATTTGAATGCCTGGACCCATGGTAATGTTGGTCTGCTGATCATATGCTCTATCAGAGGAGTAGTATAAGAGAAAGGAAGACTTTCCAGTTACATTAATAACTTGTCCCTTGTAGATTCTGTTTTTTAAAATGCAAGAAGCATTTTTGTCCTGAACATTACCTCCAAGTTGCTATTCTCTGACAATTGCTGTGAAGAAGTCTTGCCAACATCCTAAAACCAAACAACTCTCTGCCTTCATCCCTAGCAGATGAGTGCTGACCCATTGCTACTGAAAGCAGACTTGTAAAAGACTACCTGCTCGCTGCAGGTTATTAGTTCCATCACTTAGTCATGAGCCATTTAACTCAAATATTAACTGCAGAAATTAAAGCAAGTCCTTGGCTTGGAAAGATCAGAGGGAGACATTGAGTCAGAATGCACACAGCCAGGCTGTTTCTTGTTGTGAGGTAGCATACCAGCAAAGGATAGGCTTTTGTCAGGGGTGCAGAAGAGGATGTGGAGTTTGTGTGGCCTCTGAAATCCCTTGAAAAATGGTGTTACCCAGCATTTCTCACCAGAAAGCAAAGTAGAGTAGTAGCTCAGCCATCCTGCCCTGACTCCCCTCCCTACTCCTCTGATACATTCTCCTTCATTCAGTGGATGCATTTAAGCTAGGTATCAGGGTGGCTTTTTGGATGGACTGCATGTCACCTGCCTGGTGGTCACCCTAGACTTGCAGGCATGCTTGTTTGGGACTTTTCCAAGTCTCAGCATTATCAAAGATAAGCCAGAGGAAGAGCCTGCAGTGGTTCAGCTCAGGAAGGCAGCTGGTAGAGGGAGGACTGCCTCTGGCAGTGGGGTGCAGGGAAGCCTTTTGGCTTAAAGAGAGAGGAACACCCTTTCTCTCATTGCCTGCTTGGGGCAGCCTGTGTGTCTCAGATGCCAGGGTAGAGATGGTCTGGCCCATCCCTCCCGACGGCATTCTTACACAATGTTATCTTACAGTGAGACAGGAGAAGGTCATTAGTTCCTGCATAATAACCAAGGTATTTTCACCTTTTTTTCTGCAGTAATCTCTCAGGTGTAGATAAGTGATGGCATCCCCACACTCACCCAACAAATGCAGCTGCCCAGATCGATCAGGCTTCAGTGTGTGTGTGGAAGGTAGAGGATACCTCTGGTCTGTGGCTGATGGTAGCCACAGAGCAGCAGCATGGGATGAGAGCTGGGGATAGCTCAGCCTTGCTTGTGAGGAAATCTCATGTGTGATCTAAACTTCACTGCTTGCTTCTGAGCCTGCTTGCCATCACTTGTGCCATTTGTCACCCTGAAAGACTCACAGTGGATCAGCAGAACAGGATCTTGCTTTTCTAACCCTGATTCAGAGAACATCTACATGCACACTAAAGGTTGACAGGGGAGGGAGCTGTTGCCACTTGAGACCCCTATCCCATCTCTGCCCTCTCCAGATTGACTGTGGAGGAAACAGTTAGACAGTCCCCATGACCTTCCCCATCAGTGACGGTGCCTTGTCTCCTTCCTCCCCAGGGAGCCCTCTGTGCTCGTGCTGTGTTCCAGACCCTATGGGCCTCTCCTTCCTGCCCACCTATGGCTGCCAAAGCAACCGCACGGCCAGCGTGGCTGCCTTGCGCATGAAGGCCCGGGAGCACTCGGAGGCTGTGCTCCAGTCTGCCAACCTCCTGCCTGCTGCCAGCAGCAGCCCCACTCCTCCCACCAAACCCAGCCCCGAGGGCAGCCAGGACAAGCAGCCCTCTCCAGCCAAGGAGCACATGGAAGGAGAGAAGAGCGTATGAGGCCGGACTGGAGCCGGACCCTCGGCTCAGGGCAGGGTTCTGCCACCGGGGCTCTGCTGTGGGGTGAACTGCAGTGTGGCTGTGCCCTGGCTGGATGTCATGGGGCCATCAGGGACCTGGCAAATCTGAGTGGCCTTGTTGGCTGCCTTTCACGCACCCTTGCTTTTCTTGTGCCGCTGTAGCTCATTCCCCTGATTTACTGGCACTATCTGTGTTTGGAAACATTTGTGAAACTGTTTCTAGCCCCCGCTCCACACCCTAGGGACGCTGAAATGCCCAGGATCCTGGCTTGCTCCTGCACATCTCATCTCCCCATCCTGCGTGAGATGGAGGGCTGGAAGAAGAGCAGCACTTCCAGACATGTGGTCTGGGACAGGAGAGACATACAGGCATCATTTACCCTGCCACATACAGCAAAGGTGAAGGAATATGCAGGTTTATACCAGCCTGGTGTGCTGTTTTTCTGATGGCATTTGACTTCAATCAGATCTATCCCAGGCAAGCCAGGTGTAAGAGAAACAGAAAACAGAACGAAACTCTTCATAATTTTTCTCTTCTCCCTTTTATTCCCTGAAAGTGAAACCATCCATGGAGGAGATAACTGGGAAATTGCTGAGATCTGTTTACCTGTGAATAAAATCCTTACACTAGTCTCTATGTGAACATTACTCTGGAAGTTAATTTTGCCACTCCCTGGGTTAGATATAAAAGACACATGACTCCAGAGCAGCATTCACAGTAATGCTGGTATTTCATGGAGAGTGCAGTTGTGTCTAGATCTGCACAAAGCTGGGGTTATTTTAGCATCATTCTCTTGGAAAGAAAGACTGGAAAACAAAATAATCCTGTATTACAACGCTGCAAATATGTCCTTGCATGTTTTGTTTTTAATAAGAAGGAAATAAAGCTTGGAAGGATATTCCTTTGTGCCATCCAAAATCAGACTATTCCATTCACTGAAGGCTTGTAATGAATCTAGATATGAAAATGTCTCAATTATTACAGAGTAGGCACAATGCAAAGGAGAAATTGATGCCTCAGGAAACAGAGTCTTATTTCTGACCCGAAACTCCCCAGAGCAAAGCGGTCTAAGATCTGATGCTCTAGAGCAGGCATTTTAGTCTGGGGTGCCCCACATTTTTTTCCATGTAAAATGTAGATAAAGGTTTAAACTTAGCGACACGGACTTGTTCTTCCTGGGTACTTTTTGCAGACTCTTTAGGCTTGTCCACAGATGTCCCTGGAGAACAGGGTGAAACCACCACTCTGAGACTTGGCTAAGTAACGTGGAGGCTAGCGGAAGGAGTCCTCTCAGCTCTGCTCCTGCGCATTGTGCTGAGGAACTCCTGCAATGTGTTGAGCACATACTTTTGCACTGGGTTGTATTCGGCCTCTCACAGGATCTGAGCTTGGGGATGTGCTTGGAAAGGCAGTCCCAAGTAAGGCTGGCAGTAAAATTTTCTCTCTCCTATCCAAGTGATCTCAGACCTCAAATTTCACAGAACCTGGGACTTCTTTGGGGCTCACAGGACCATCCCGTACCTGCTGGTGCACATCTCCCTTTCCATGAGGCAGAGCTTGGTGTCAGCACCGATTCAAAGGGTGGAAGCCCTGGTCTTCAGCAGGTGGATTCATTGCTCCAGGAGTGAAGGGTGCTAGGCATTTCCCCAGGGAGGGGTTTGTGTCTTCCAGACACAAGCCATCGGGAAGGGCAGTGCTGGGCATGTACTTGGGTCCAAATAAAAAGTCAAGTCCGACAGGGCCCACGTTCATCAAATGGGGTCATTTTGCTTTAGTTTTGTGACACCATGTGTTTCTTTTGGCAATCTTGAACTGTCCTAACAGCGGGGGGAACATGCAGTAGTCTGTTATCTGTCTTTGTATTCCAGCTCTGCTGAACTGTAGGTGGAGGTGGCTTCCCTGGCTGCAAATAATGGCTTACTTTAAGCACCAGCAACAACTTTTTTCTTCCACCAAAATAAAATAGATCGCTGTGAGCTTTGCTGTGGGGAGTGGTTGGAGAAGAGAGCACCACTGTTTCCATAGTGATCTTCTGAATCATAATTTTTTTGTGGACCCCATCCCTAAAAAAGACTAAAAAAGAACTCCACTCCAAAGAGGCAGGCCCAATTTCATTTCAACGTAATTACCTTGCATTCAGTTGAACTTCAGCCCTTCTCTACACTAACTCTTCAATCTAATTGTTTGATTAAACTCGTATTTCCTCCAGAAAGGTACATAAATAAGTGAATTGTTGAGCAAATTAAGAATACTTAACAGCATTGCATCTGAAAAGTAGTTACGCTGATTAAATTTTCTGTCCTTGAGGATTTTCAGGAAATTACTTTTGATCGTCAATAACACAATTAAGTAAACTACACGCACATTAGCATGAATAATTGATAAGAAATTATGTATTACCACGAAGCACTGATTTAATAATTCATGATGCGACACTCTAGTGACTGTGCAAAACTGGATAACATCGACAAGTCTGCCTGATGTTGCTGGAAATGCTGCAATTACAAACAAGTCCATAGTTTTGTTGTACAATAAAGAAAAGTATCCGCTGCATGCTGTAGTTTCTGTTTGTTTAATACTTGAATAAATTTAGAAATAAGACCCTAAATAATCCCTGTACTGTTTTCATTCAGATCAATCTCTCTGTGCAAGCATTGCTCTCACATTGATGACCGCCCAGTTCTGCATAGACCATAAAGACGTTGCAGAGTGGAGAAGGCTCCCAGATTCACAGCTGGAACCTGCTGGGTGTCTCACAACTTGCAAAATTAGGGAGGGTCAAAGTTTTGCAGAGCCTCCTGTTAGGGGCGAAGTGGCATTAGTCACCCAGAAGCTGAAGCCCACAGCCTTTTAGATTCTTTGGTGTCTGATATGACTGTGATTATAATTATTCAATATGATTTTGTGGGTGGTTGCTCTAAGCCAGCCGTAAATAAAGCATTTGGATTTGTCACATTAAACCCCAATTCACCAACAGCTCTTACGATTTCCCTAGGGGACACAGATACATATTTGCATTCTTGTTAGCATGCTGGGGAAACCAGGGCAAGGTGAGCCACATTTGCCTCTCAGATTCTCTTCAGAGACTTGTCTGCTCAGTGCAGTGCAGCCCAAGGGAACATGCTTGAGGTCACTGAGCAGTAGCACAAGGGCAAGAGCAGAACTCAAGAGATCTGTGTCTCGACTGTGCCCGCTTCTTGCCACCAGACCCTACTCCCTTCCAGATAGACTGCCCACTACGGATGAGCCACCTGCCTTCTTTCTACACTATCATATATCAGGGCTATGCCACTTAAACCACTCACGTAATGGCCATCTCAGTAGCTCTGATTAAGTCTGGCATTTAAAAGTTTATAACTCGGCTATAAAAAGTCACTCAGGCTGAACCCCAGTGTGAGAAGCCCAAGCCCAAGGGGATGATTTACATGAGAGCTATTCCAAAAACAGCCTGTGTGATATTTTTTTCAGTTCTGTGAGGGAAATACAGAAGCCCAAGGTTTGAGGGACGAATATAAGACAAAGATGTTTTGTTTCACAGCTTACTGCATTGACATTATATCCAATGCAATTCTCTGTGAATTTCCATACCAGCAAGAGCCCGGCATAGCATGAACAGCCTCTGCGCAAACGTCACTTGCAGTTTTGGTAATGCATCTCCAGTCTTGGGCTCTTTTCTGAAGTAATCACAGAGAGCCATAGCGCCCCAATTTCCCCTCATCCCCTCCTTTCCCTGCATGAGCCATCTCCCAACATCCTCACTCGTCACCCTGTGGTCCTGCCTCTAGCTCTGATGCTGGCTCCCTCCTTGTTCTGTCCCCATGGCACAGCTGCCCTGCCCCGTGAAGAGCCCTGACCCAAGCACTGAGCCCAGCACTGAGGAGGTGGCAGCAGAGCCAGCTGGGGAGTTCATGCGCACAGAGTTACTGCATTGCACTGATCTGGGTTTTGTTAATGGGTGCTGATACTAAACACCAGGCCATAGGACCTTCTTTATAAGGTTGCATGCCATTCTCTCAGCCCTCTCTACTTTTTTATCTCTTGTACATCTATCTAGGCCTCCTTATGCCTACATACATTATAGCAGGAAACGTGGAGAATGCACCTTCACTCAGTCACGCCGTAGGCTAGTCCTTCCTACGCTGCATGCTGGATAGTAATGAGATTGTAAGGCTAACTGGCTCTTTATTAAGAGTATTATTTACAATGATGCTGAAGGCCATGTGCATGCAGAAAAAGGTTCTGGTATAACATTAAAGTCTTCCCTCTTGCAGTCTGTGCCCTCTCCTCTGTGTTCCCCACAGCTTGCTGCCCTTGCCAAGTTTGGGCTGACTTTCTCTGTACCTCCTAGAAGACTCCTCCACCCCATGTCAGACTAGGGAGAAAAGTCTGCTGGTAGGGCTGTGTCTCTGGGAAGTTTGCGCTTTTGCTGCACATATAAGCTTTCTGCTTTCCTGCAGAAGAAAGAAGCCAGCACAGTGCGGGAGGAAGTTGTTTGCTGCCGGTTGGACCACGAGGGAGCAGGGGATGGAGATGAAATGCTTGTGGTGTGCTGCTGTGGCACATTCTCCCACTAAAAGAGCTGTTACTCGATAAAGATTCAGTTGCGCCTGGCTGTTTGTGCGGTGAAAGCAGCGTGTGAAGTGGGGGAAGTGAGAAGCCCTGAATTGATATTTGAGCTCAGAATACATAATTCAGACCTCTTCACTGAAGAGTTTGACACCCCTGCCATAAATAAAAAAGCAATAGAGTACAATAAACAACACTTTATTCTTTCCACTTAAAAACTTCCTTTGCACTTCAGTAAATATTGACTTCAGGTGACCGTATTACCACAAAATATGATCTTTTCCTGATACCAACCAAATAAGCCTTTACGTAGATCTGGCCCATGAGAATGAGAATTTCATTGGCATATAGCAAATCCAGCCTTATTTGAGAATGATGCATCAACAATATTTTAATAATCCTACCACAATGTC